ATCCTGTTCTGTTTCAAACCTCACTGTGGAAACTCTCAAGTGATTTTATAATTTTTTTTCAGTTCAGTTTTTCACTGAGAATTTTCCAAACCAACCCCATCTGGGCTCACTCAAGGTGACTCTTCCCTCTGTTCCTGGCCTYGACTTCCAGCCATTGCAGCCAGGAATCCACTGTTGGCGCAAGGAAAAACCCCAGCAAGGAGAGGAAAATCCTCCAGATGGAAATGCAGCAGCCCCAAAAGGGGAGGTGGTGGCAGCTCCAAATGAGACCAGTTTGGGTTAGGGAGGGGATATTCTCATTTCCTGACAATGAGAAACATTTGGGGTTTGCAGAACCTGGGCTGAAAGGGGCCAGGTGGGATCTGTGTAGGGTGGGGGCAGCTGGAGGGAGCAGGGGCAGATGGAGCCAGGTTGGGGTTGCATCGAGGGCCATGACCCAGTGTGGGTTTGGGGATACCCATGGGGTGAGGACCGAGGGTTGTGACCCCAGTGTGGGTTTGGGGACACCCATATGGGGTAAGCAGGACCAAGGATTGTGACCCCAGTGTGGGTTCTGAGGGGGAAGGGATCCACAGGGACCACCCAAAGCAGTCGCTGGCCCTGCCCAGACACCCCAACAATCCAAGCGCTCCTGGGGCTCTGGGGCTGTCCCCATTCCCTGGGGAGCCTGGGCAGTGCCCAGCACCCTGTGGGGACAGAAGAACCTTTCCCAAAATCCACCCTAAACCCCCCTGGCACAGCCCTGGCCGTTCCCTGGGTCCTGTCACTGTCCCAGAGCAGAGGTCCCCGAGTCCCCCCTCAGTCTCCTCCTGTCCCGATGGGTTCCCTCCTCATACTCAGCTGATCCCTCCTGTTTTGGGAATTTTTACACTTCCTGAGCTCTGCTCTGCACCGAGCCCTGACAGCCTTCAATGCCAGGGGCACCTTGAAGCCCGTCGGGGCTGGCTCCTGTGGCTCTCTGGGATGATCCCGATGCTCTGTATGGCCTCATCCCAGCCCGGGGCTCTACGGTTTGGCTTCCCCTAAAGCAGTTCTGGCTGGYTGAGATGTTTTTGGGAGCGCAGTTCCCATTGGGAGCTGGGCTGGCCCCATTCCTCGCAGGGCAGGAACGGTGCTGCAATCTCTGCTCCCGTCCTCGTCCTTCCCAAGACTCTCACAAGCAGAAATTTCGAGGATGCTGAGCTTCACCAGCACCCCAAGTCCTTCCAAACCTTTCCTTTTCTTCCATTTTCCCTGGAGTTCTGTGGTAAAAAGGATGAGATTTTACTGTGCCAGCAATCTGGGTTCAGTTCAGCAGGGAAGGCTGTGGAGCGACCTCAACCCAAGGCTGAGCTTGGGTTTCCTGATGGGATCACACCAACCACGGAGCCTTCCCTTGGACATGGGGCTGGAACTAGCTCAGGATCTGCTCCACAGTCCCACAGGGATGCAAGGAGAGTCGGTCTCTTGGAGCTGGAACCAGCTGGGATGAGCTCAGGATCTGCTCCACAGTCCTGCAGAGTTTGTCTGTCCCTTGGAGATGGAGCTGGAACCACCCGGGATGAGCTTGGGATCTGCTCCACAGTCCCACAGGGATGCAAGGAGAGTCGGTCTCTTGGAGCTGGAACCAGCTGGGATGAGCTCAGGATCTGCTCCACAGTCCTGCAGAGTTTGTCTGTCCCTTGGAGATGGAGCTGGAACCACCCGGGATGAGCTTGGGATCTGCTCCACAGTCCCACAGGGATGCAGGGAGTGTCTGTCCCTTGGAGCTGGAACCAGCCGGGATGAGCTTGGGATCTCCTCCGCCGTCCCCAGGCGTGTCAGCTCCCAGCGAGGCTTTGCTGTGCTTTCACTCTGGTCAGAGTTTCTCTGCTCGGTGGGGCCGGGACACCCTCAGGGCTGTGCCATCGGCGGTGCCCTCGCTGCCGAGGTGCCATGGAAGCTCCTGGGGCACAGCTCGAGCCCCGCGGCCACGTCCTCGCTCTGTGGGATCCGTGGGGTCAGTGACGTTCTCGGGGTGCAGCCGATGCTGAGGAGAATCCAGGAGTGCTTTGAGTGCTCTTCCCAATGTCAGCGAGTGATCGGAGCAGCTAATTCCCCATTTCTGTCCCCAAATTCGGCCTTTCCGTGGACACGGCACCGCGCWTCCACCGCTCCTGCTTCCCCTGCGGCTGTCACAACCCTTGGGGACAAGGAAGTGCCACCGGCCCTCTGCCCTGCCCGCTGTCCCCGCGGAGGGGACACGAGCGAGGCGAGTCCATGAGGCTCCCACAGCACCTTGGGATCGTCTGCAGCGGCTCAGCACGAGCTGCTGGAGCCAAAACGCCCCTGGAAGCAARAAGCACCTGGAGCTGGGGCTGGGCCGGTTCCCTTCCCACCCGGACACACGGCTGCTCCMCGGAACGGCTGCGATTCCCCAAAAAAACCAGCCCCTCCTTCTCCACGGGATGAGGGCAGCTCTGAGTTCTCAGCCCCGGGGCTTCGTGTTTAGGGAGAGAATTCCCCCAAACCCTGCCCCGGTCCCAGAAGTCCAGGACCCCCCAAACAGCGCCAGGTTCTGGGTGTGGAGTGGCCGGAGCCTTTCCAGGCTCCTGAAACCTCCGGAGCTCTGGATGGAGGTGACACAATCAAACCCCAAATTTGGGGAGGGGAGAGCCCAGAGTCCCCGAGAATCCCGGGCACCGATGGAGGCGACACAATCAAACCCCAAATTAGGGGAGGGGGACCCACGGAGTCCCTGAGAATCCCGGGCACAGCGGGATGGGAACAACCCTCCCCTCTGCRGCAGAACAGAAACCCCCAGCACCGCTTTTGCTCCCTTTTTTATAGATTTTTGTGTGGATATATAGAAAATATAGAGAACCGTAGGCTGCCGGCAGCGGAGGCGCTGCCGGAACGGCGCCGGATACAAAGAGCTCTGAGATCAGGAGTAAAAACCACCGAGTCCGGATTGTCCCCTGCCAGCCCCGTCCCYGCGGGCTCCGGAGCGTCCCCGTCCCCTTCCCCGCGGGGAATTGTGCCCGTGGCAGGGCAGCGCTAGGGYTTGGCGTGGTGCTGGAAGGCCGGGACGTGCGGGGAGCTGTAGGATCGCCGGCTGTGCCACGGAGCCGCCGGGTAGAGCCGCTGCCGCAGCGAATCGCCGTAGGACGCGGGCAGGTGGCCGGAGCCGCTGGCCAGGGGCCGGCACAGCTCCGAGGGCTGCGCGGAGCCCACGACCAAAGGGCTGGGGAAAGCCGGGATCACGAAGGGRTTGACGGACAGGGCCGGGGTCACCGGCACGCCCTGGGTTTTGAGGTGCTCCAAGGGGCCCCCGAAGCTGCCCGGGAAGTGCAGCGCCGCTCCCTTGAAAGCGTCCGGCGGCAGCGGCGCGGCGAAGCCGGGAGTGGCCACCACGGCCTTGGGTTTGGCCAGCCCCCGGTGGCCCCCGGGCGAGCGGGACCCCCTGTCCCTGCCCTCCTTGGCCAAGGGGGACACGGCGCGRAACTTGGCCACGGGGCCGAAGGGCTCTTCGTCCTCCTCTTCATCCTCCTCATCCTCCTCCTCSTCSTCGTCGCGGCCGTCCCCGGGCCGGGCTGCGTTGTGGCCGAAGGCGGCTCCGGGGGGCACCCAGCAGGCCTGGACAGCGGCGCCCCGGCCCTCCCACGGCAGCCCCGCTTTGCTCCGCAGCTCTTGGGGCCGCTCGGGCTCCTCGGGCCGCGCCGGGAAGGCGGAGGGCGGCTCCAAAAAATCTTTCAGGTTGGAGAAGTACCCCCAGAACGGGGGGCAGCCGCCGGGCTGGGGCCCCTCGCTGCGGTAGGCGTGGAAGTAGCCGGTGAAGACGGCGGGGGCCGGAGCCCCGTCCTCGGCCCGCGGGCAGCCCTGGCTGTCTCTGCCTCCCGGGGATGCGCTGGGGGCCGGCCCCACCTCGCTCCCCACGCTCGGAGCTCTGTCCTGAGCTCCCGCCGGCTCCGGGCTCCTCTGCTCAGCCGGGCGAGGGCCGGGGAGCGGCCGGGGCGGCTCGGGGCCGGTGTCGCTCGGCGCCCGCCGGCCCTCGGGGCAGTGGCGTTTGTGGCAGTGCAAGGACTCGGCCTTGCTCACCTGCGCCAGCAGCTTCTTCTTGGCCAGCGGGGACATGATGGGGTGGTTCCCTTTGGAGTAGAAGCTGGAGAAAAGGCGCTTGTAGGTCTCGCTGTGGGTCCTGCAGGGGCTGGGACAGCCCCCCGAGGGGCTGGGGGCCGGGCCGGCCGGGCTGCAGGGTCCGTCGGGGGCCCGGCCCCGCTCCGGGGYGTCCCGCGCTTCCTCCGCGCCGGCGGCCGCCTCCGCCTTCCCCTTGTCCGGAGCCAGCTGCGAGCAGAGCGGGGCGGGGTGTGGGTGCCGCACCCCGGGGTGGGTTATCCTGCCTCCCCGCCCCGCTCCGGCTGCCCTCAGCATCCCCGCTCTCTTTTCCCGGTCCCTCCCCGCTCTTCCCCGGGCACAGACRCGGCCGTGGGGCCGGGGCCGCTCCCGAACCCTCGGGGGGCACCGCGCACCTGCTCGCGGCTYTTCTCCTTCCTGGCCCTCTTGCTCCTGTCGTCCTTGGACACCTTGTACTGCTTGCGGGGTTTGCTGGGGGGCAGCGGTTTGTCCTCCTCGCCCTTGAGGTGCCGCACGTAGGGAAGGACGAGCCTGCGGAGCGAGCGGGGAGCGCGCTCAGAGGGGAAACTGAGGCACGCAGAGGGACAGAACCCCCGGCAGGGGAAACTGAGGCACGCAGAGGGACACACCCCCACCCTGTCCCCTTCCCCACCTCTCGTAGTGGCGCCGGGTGCAGGTGGCCGCGCTGGTGCTCCCGGGGCTGCCCCCGAGTTCGTCGTAGACGTTCTTCCAGAGCCGGCGCCCCGTCACCTGCGGGGGAGGGAGGGAGGGGTGAGCCCGGCACCCCGGGGACACCTCGGGGGCACTCGGGGGACACCCGGACACCCCGGGGACAACCTGGAACCCCGGAGATATCCCGGCACCCCGGGGACACCTCGGGGACACTCAGGGGACACTCGGGGGACACCCCGGCACCCCAGGGACACCCTGATATGTAGAGGACACCCCAGCACCTCGGGGACACCCCAGGAACACCCTGGCACCCTAGGGGATATGCCAGCTTCCAGAGGCCACCTGTGGAACATTCGGATGCCCAGGGGACACCCTGGTACCCAGAATCCAGGGGACACCCAGGGGACACCAGGGGACACTCAGGGCACACCAGGGACCCCGCTCACCAGCTCGTAGGCTCCCAGCTTTTCCACGGCTTTGTAGATCTTCCAGAGGTTAACTGGGAACAGAGAGGGGACGCTGAGGGTCAGGAGGACGCGGGATCTCTCCAGGGCCACCTCCCGCTGTCCCCTGTCCCCGGCGGGGTTGGGGACATACTCTGCTTGAAGCCGAGGTGCGGGATCCTCTCGATGGGCGTGCGCCGCTCCTTCATGAACTTGTAGAGGCTGACGAGGAAAGCTTCCTCCTCCTCCTTCTCCCGCTCCTC